ATACTATGAACTGTTAACATATTTCCCAAAAAGGATATTTTTTTCAGAAAAAAATGGAGGATCTTTTCTTAATGAGAGAACTATAGTTTATAACTCATCAGAAATGATAGGTAGGAATCATCAAGATATACTCTGTCTGACTCCCCCTCCGGCCCACGGGATTAAAGTTTTATGCATTTTCAGTAAGAAAAGCTTTTCAAATTTCTCTGTGTAGAATAAAATATGAGATAAAAATGAAAATTGTTTTCATTGAAATTGATGCTTCTGATTCAATATCTTCCCTTTTCCATTGTTATTGACACTTTATTAATGTCTTGGATTCTGGACGTTGTCGTTAATTGAAAAGATTTTTACCGCATTGTGCAACCAACATTCTCAACCTACAGGGTGTCCCACATCATATTAGATCGTTTATTGCTCTAAATTGAGATTTAATGGACTAATCGAAAACTAAAAATGAATGAATCATTTTAAAAAATGTATAAGGCTAATTTAAAAACGTTCTTGCAGAAAATACCAGATTTATGGAGCATTATGTTATTATTTTGGGTTTACAGCTTGGAGATAATCTATCATGATATGGTACGCTCTGTGTGACAGAGGGAGGTTAAGTTATTTAAAGTCCTTGACGACAATTAAGGAAAATAATCACACGCTCTGCGAAGTCTTTGTGACAAAAAATCGCAAATTTGCATCGCATCAGGCGATAAGATTGTGTACATTTACTATTGTACAGTGTACAACTACTTTTTCGGAAAATTAAACATTTTAATTACCCACGGGCTCCGTCGATCGAACAATTTTGCTGTGCTCGACACCTTCCTTGTAAATTAATTGTAAATAATTTCACCAATCCTAAAACGTCATTACAAAATGTTTAATCTGTTGTCCAATTATGTAAAAATAAAAGTTTGTTTAAGAAATTTCTTAATTTAAAACAACAAAGACAAGCATCCTTGAACTGATTGTTAATTTCAGACAATAAAGAGAATTTTGACCAAATTTCAAGGGACAATAAAGTTACAACGGTAATCATCAGTCCTCCGGCCAAGTAGTTAAAAGTGACTTGCGAATTTAAAAAGTACAGTCTAACAAGAAAATAGCCAAATTCAAAATTCAAGAAAAACAGCGATATTTTTCTCCTTTTTACTTAGATAATGTTTAACCTTGTGAAGCGTGTATCACTGGTTCAACGGAAATTGCGTTGATAGTCCCTTTAAAACAGAGAATCGCGATATATCCCGTGGTTTACTCTAAAAAGAGAATCGCGATATATCCCGTGGTTTACTCTAAAAAGATAATCGCGATATATCCCGTGGTTTACTCTAAAAAAGAGAATAGCAATATATCCCGTGGTTTACTCTAAAAAGAGAATCGCGATATATCCCGTGGTTTACTCTAAAAAGATAATCGCGATATATCCCGTGGTTTACTCTAAAAAAGAGAATAGCAATATATCCCGTGGTTTACTCTAAAAAGAGAATCGCGAGATATCCCGTGGTTTACTCTAAAAAGAGAATACCAATATATCCCGTGGTTTACTTTAAAAAGAGAATTGCGATATATCCCGTGGTTTACTCTAAAAAGAGAATTGCGATATATCCCGTGGTTTACTCTAAAAAGAGAATTGCGATATATCCCGTGGTTAACTCTAAAACGAGAATTGCGTTATATCCCGTGGTTTACTCTAAACAGAGAATAGCAATATATCCCGTGGTTTAATCTAATAAAGATCACATTTGCATCTAATACCGGAGCCAAATCCTACTTAGTAGTGCAACTCTTTAAATTTTGATTGAGGATAATTTGAAGATTAATGCGTCTTAGTTAAATTTGGCTCCATAGCTCAAATTATTTGTTTTTAAAGAAAAATTTGTGCTTAGAACTCAGATCAGTTAACTCTGTGTGAAGAGATGAGGTTGAAGAATTCAGAAGAATATTAAAATATTTTTGTCACGTTCCACCAATTCTAGAATTCTGAAACCGCTTCAAATTCTAGAATACTAGATCTAGAGTATCCACCGGTAAATTTACCGCTGGGAGTCGGAAATTCCGGAAAATTTTCTGCCAGAAGCCGTATTTTTTTCGGCGGAAAACTTTTTTCATGGAGTTCTAGAGCCTGTTAAGATTTTATAAAATTCTAGAACCCGTTTAAATTCTAGAATTCAAGGACCCTTTTAAATGCTTATAGAACCCTTTTAAATTCTAGAGTTCTATAACCTGTTTAAATTCTATAGAATTCTAGAGGCCTTTAAATTCTAAAATTCCAGAACTTTTCTCTTATTTATATATCTTCAAACCATATTTATTGGAAGAAACCTATTTCGGCAATTTACAATCAGGAACTCAATAACACATCATACTAAAATTGAAAAAAAAGTTTGTAATTCCGAGCTCCCAATGTCATCCCAGCGAATCCGGAAAAAAATTATCCTAAAGGGTGAGGATTAAGTAATAATGGAAACCCTGTTTAACGTCTATAAATGTAAGATAGAAGTAAATATCAAGAAACAATAATCAGTTCCTCTAACTAACTTTTCTTAGATAAAAGAAACCCTGTTTTCATAAAATACAGGGTTACCCAGAGAAGATGAGACTGTAAAGACGACCTGAGACTATTAAAATATGACGATTTTTATGTTGAATTCAATCATCTGTCTTTAATATAGTCTAATTTAGGGGCTAAATTAATTATTTGCCAAAGAGTGAAACATGTTTACAGTTGCAGGGAGTCATGATTTAAAAAAAAAAGACAGCGCAAATTCCGTACAATCGTCTCTGAATTCTCATCCTTTGCGGGTAATTCTCTATATACTAGCTGAAGTGCTCGACGTTGTCCGTCGTGGAATTTTTTTAATTTGAAAGGAAAAAATCGAACTTGATCAGCCTATGTTACCCCCAGTGTGTTTAAGGGTTCCCTCAAAAAAATTTAGCCCATTTGGTCCAGCCATATGGCCAGCTTTATTCTAGAGTATAGACATGAAAAGAAATTAGTAGTAAAATGAAGCATGGTTGCAAACAAACTATATTTACATTATAACAAACCACTAGTGTTAGACTCACTAAAGTTGATCTAAATACACACGACATTCGCCTGAGGTGAATATATTTCCATCTTCGACCCTTCTGATCAGATAATTTGTCTTGGGGCATAATATGGCAGGTGACACTGCTTTCTTCCCTGGCTAGATAAATGCCATTTCACTCCTTTCTACAAGTATCAATCCTTCCCTAGCTCCGTCCTTTAAACCATACCAACTTGATATCTACCAGAAAAGAAAAGGGTTCAATACCCTTGTGGGTCTAGCCTGTTATATACTCAGGCTCCAAACATACTAAGTGTTCAATATCCTCTTGAGCTTGGGTTTTATAAGTTGAGAAACCTTGGTTGGGTTCACAATAGATAAAAAAAATAAAATAAGTCAATATTTTAATGAAAATATCAAATTGAAAATATAAAGATATCATTATTTTGAATAAGTACCCTGAAGGAAGATTGCATAGCATTATACATAAAGTTGATACAATAAAAATTCAAATCATTCTTGCATATAGCATGAAACCCTTTGTTTATGAATAAAATGTTATAAGAAGATTGTTGCGTTTTTACTGATATACATATATATATATGATTAAAATAATCACAAAATAGTTCTAGTCCTACCATTTCCAAATTGTGGTTTGCCTTTNACTTTGTATTTTGTAACTTAAACTTTGTACTTTGTAGATTAAACTTTGTATTTTGTAAATTAAACTTTGTATTTTGTAACTTAAACTTTGTACTTTGTAGATTAAACTTTGTATTTTGTAAATTAGACTTTGTATTTTGTTACTTAAACTTTGTACTTTGTAAATTAAACTTTATATTTTGTAGATTAAACTTTATATTTTGTAGATTAATTGAACTTTGTAATCTGTAGATTAAACTTTTAAACTTTGTATTTTTTAGTTTAAATTCATGGTTTGTAGATTAAACTTTGTATTATGTAGATTAAACTTTGTTTCTTGTAGGTTAAACTTTGTATTTTGTAGAGTAAACTTTTTATTTTCTAGATTGAACTTTGTATTTTGTGGATTTTACTTTGTACTTTTAAGATTAAACCTTGTATTTTGTAGAGTAAACTTATTATTTTCTAGATTAAACTTTGTATTTTGTAGATTAAACTTTGTACTTTTAAGATTAAACCTTGTATTTTGTAGATTAAACTTTGTGTTTTCAAGATTAAACCTATTGTATTTATCCCCTCCCCCCCCCCCTCCAATTGTTTCATCTCGTTGAATTTCTGAAAACCGGGGTTTCTTTATTTAAAAGTTCCAAATAGTTCTCCTTTGTTAATTTTCTTAAAAGAATTTATAATCAAGTGTTCACGAAATCAGAGAGTAAAATTAACTAAAACTATTAATATTTCTCTTTCAAGCTTTCAACAAAATTAAAACTTTTAAAAAATATCGGGGGAGGGGGGGGAGGGAGTTGATCAAAAGTTATCATTGTGATCCAATTTTAGGGAGCAAATCTTAAAGCCAGTATCTAAGTACGGTTAAATAAGAAAACTTAAAATAGAATACCACTTCACTCTTCCTCCTTCATCCCTTAGCAATTCTCCTTCTCCCTTCCTCCCCCCCCCCCTTCACACATAATACTCCTTACCCCTCACCCTTCGCCTTTATCCTTTATCTTCCTTCCTTCCCTTTTCCACCTTCCACTTTCATCCTTTCAATTCTCCTTTCCCATTCCTTCCCTCCTCCCCTTCCTTACCCCCCCCCCTTCTCTACCTTCACCCTTCCCATGTTCTTATTCTCCTTCCCATGTTCTCATTCTCCTTACGTTCTTACTTCCCCTCCTTTAACATTCCCCTTTCTTGAAATAGTAATTTAATAACTAGGATTTATATCAGACACAGTTTTAGAACTTCCAGCCGGCCATTAAACAAGAATTTACTGCATCTAGAAAATTTATATTTTTAAAAAAATTGGTTCAACATTTCTAACTTTACAGGCTTTCTGATCAGACAATAATTATAACTGGAGGGACTTCTGGAATAGGTAAAGAGAGAATATATTAAGGTTAAAGGAATATGTTTACTTATTTAACATGATAATAATAATAATAATAATAATAATAAAATTTTTTTTTCTTAAAAAATAATTTACAATAGTTTTACATGATTTTTTCTAAAATTTTTAACACAGGAGAAAAATCCTTTAACTTCCCATTAATTTTCTCTACTGCATAAAAATCCCTATAAGTCAGTCGATCGAAAGGACCTGAGTTCTTGCCGCTAACTCAAATTTTCTAATCCCAATTGTTGCATCATGATGTCCTTGATATTTCAAACTTAGAATACTTGATATAACAGAATTCCGAGTTTGAGATTTAATGTGTCTGCGACATCGGGCCGGTTGCACAGATATTAGGATCAGAGTTTGCAGCAAGACTCAGCTCCTTTAGGAAAGTTCGTACTTCTACAGATCGATCTCTGAGATTAATTAAATAGAAATTAATTGTTAATTGATTTCCAGGTAGAGAAACCGCGATGAATCTTAGGAAACATAAAATTTAATTGTTTTAATCATATTCTCGGATATTCTCAGAAAATGAAATGGTTGAACAGTGAAAGTAGAAATGGCAGGGATGAAAGAAGCAGGAAAGTAGTGAATAGGAAAGTAGTGAATAGGAAAGTAGTGAATAGGAAAGAAGTGAATAGGAAAGTAGTGAATAGGAAAGTAGTGAATAGGAAAGTAGTGAATGGGAAAGTAGTGAATAGGAAAGTAGTGAATAGGAAAGTAGTGAATAGGAAAGTAGTGAATAGGAAAGTAGTGAATAGGAAAGTAGTGAATAGGAAAGAAAAAAGGCTGGAAAGGATTGGATTACAGATCTAATTAAAGATGAAACATAATTTCCAATCTAAGGTCTATATATATATAATCTGAAATAATATACAAATCTTGATTAGTTTCCATACAAATGTATTCCACCTCAAGATCGAGCTTTTAAAGTTTTCTTTACTATCTACCAACAGATTTTAAATTAAAGGGATTTTCTAAATATTTGGAAAATATGAAAAGTAGGAAGTGTGTCGAAGATGATGATATACCTAATACTTATCAGGAACAGTGGAAATGAAGATGAAATGTCTGTATCAAGACTGTTTGGGGAAATTTAAATTTGAATACATTTTTTAAATAAATGTTATATCACACATCTTGAAAACTTGATGCAGAATTTAAATTCGAAAACCATTTTAAAAATAAAGGATGACATCAAATTTATTGATATTTACCTTGATAGATTTTATGTTGATTTTAAAACAAAAATACGAAATGTTTTTAAACCCAACCTTTAAAATACTATGTGTGAGCACTATTATGTAATATTGTTAAAACAAATTCGAAATATAAGGAAGACGATTTTTCCGACTCAAATGCCGACGTTAATTCTCTAAATGCGTGTGTACACAGGAAGCAAGCACACCATGTAGTGCCCACATGTAAAATCTCCGCTCACCTTAGCTCCCGCTTCACCAGTCAGTCAGCCGAAAATATCCGAGATGAAAACAGCTCCGTCTCAGGGAGCAATCCTGGCTCCTTCATAGTGATGATGCAGATACCTATCTACCAACAGACGATGCTTACATCCAGCTCAACATTGTTCCAAGAGTTCCAAAATTATCAGGCGAACATTGAGATGCATTCCCTCATATTCGAAACTGATAAAACAGCGATCTCTCACCCTGTTCCAAGGGTTCTAACTCTCCTCCACAAGAGGATAATCTCAACTCTAATGAGTTTAATAACCTGGAGAGAGCAGAAACCTGTTGTTCCAGTCCTAGTTGATCTGCACCACCAATATGAAGTTATACACTACCAACATGAAGTTGCTACTGATGTTCATCAATTTATAATCCTTTGTTCAATTTCAATCAACCAATTTTAACTTCGCCATTTGTGCAAATATTTCAAAACAATTTTATTTTTCTTAAATAAACGTTATAGAATATTTGGGTTTTTCCTGATTTCTTTATTTGTATATTTTCTGACCTTTTTAAAGGTCAACAAATATGATGTTTCAAATCGTTATCACTTTAATCTTTTACTTTAAAAACAGAATTATTTTGCTGTTTATTCTGTTTACAAGCATAAGTGAAACCTGAGATAAATATAACTTGAATCCAATGTTTTTGAGAATATGGTACCTTTGCACATTTTTCAAATAGTTGAACAATCCCTAAGTGAACAAATCAGCAATTATAGGTTTACATAAACCAGGTGAATTGTAACAAAATGGCGCCGTCTTCTTCTTCTTTTTTTTAATAAGTAGTTTTACTAAAAATTTATGTTTGTTAGTATGAGAGGGGCGCGTATAATTCTACCCTGTAGGTAAAAAATAAACTTCTAAAATTTTTTTATCTTGTTTTAAAGTGAATATGAAAGAAATTTTAAAATTTAAGAAATACATTTCCGATTCAAAACGGCACATAAACCATAATTTTGGTAGCAAAGATTATATGCTAGCGTTGCTTTTCTTCCAATAAAAACAAGAATATCTCCATCTGTTTTGCCTAGATCAAGCTGATATGGGTACCATTGTAAATCGGACATGTAAATCTGTGAGTGGAGACTCACTACTGGATAACAGTTCATTTAAAATAAAGTAAAAAGTATTCATATTATTTTATAATGTTTAGGGATGTAAAAAAAGGTTATGAAGTGGCAGGGGATATAAAAAGTGAAACACAGGTATCTTAAAATTAGTATTTATATGCAACCACCCGTGACTGTATATTTTATCAGTTTTTGTTTAGTATCCATGGAGAAGAAAAGAATTTAATTTTGATAATTTTGATAATTCACATAATAATTTCCTTTGACCAGAATATTTCATTGATTTTTTATGTGGAAGATGGATCCCATGTCAGGTTGTGACATCAGTCTTGTATTTACATTACCGCTCAGAGACAGCTAACTGCAGTACAAAAGATGCGTACACTTCTGAAATAACTTTCCTTGCATTATAACCTTGATTTAACCTAACCTAGCCTGATTAGTATAGTCAAGGCTGTTTCGAGATCAATGATTGAGCTCGATCTTGTATTGAGGATACGAGATCAATGATTGAGCTCGATCTTGTATTGAGGATACGAGATCAATGATTGAGCTCGATCTTTTATTAATCTACAGATTAATCTATTCTCTATTTGATGTCCCGTGAAATTCCAATTAGATATTCCACATAGGGATATATATATATATGTGTAGGGATGGGAAATATTTACATTTGTTTAAAGAAACGTCTAATGTTTTTAGACTTATAAAAGGTTTTATAACGCCACTATGATATCAGGTTCCAAAGTTTTAAAACTTTATTCTCTAGAAGTTTCCTTTTCTCAAACATGCAAAGTTGTTAGCAGAAAATATAAGACAAAAACGATCGTTGTAAAACTATCGTTCTTTTTAAAACAATAGTTTTATTTCATTTTTGCCTTATATTTTCACCTATGGGCTAGAATAACAAATTTGCATGTTTGAAAAAAGAAAACTCCTACAGAATACAATTTAAAATCGCAAAACCTTTAAAAAGTCTAAAAGTATTAAAAGTTTCTGTAAAACTATAAGCTATTGCCCATCGCTAAACCCACTAACACGCAATTAGAAAGCAGGGAGTTTTGCTTTAAACCAAAGAGAATTGCGTATAACCGAAATAAAGAGATCAAGTAAATTCTGCGTAAAATTCAGAAGTGCTCCCTGTGGATATCAAAATCAAGCTATCGGGATTATGGGTTTACAACACAAAAGTTCCCAGCTCATTTTACTTAATTGATTTAATTATATAAATGAAGCAGGAACTTTTGAATTGCATAAGGTTAAGCTACAAAGCTTTTGAGTTTTCAAGTTTAAGACGATCTTTAGACTCGAAAAATTGAATCCGCTTATATCTCATGCCTAATATTCGAAATTTTACACCAATTAGAGATGAGTTCTCGGGTTTATAGACTGACTTTAACTCAATTCAAAACTTTCCAGCTGAGGATTTGTTTAGGGAATTATTGAAGTTGAAGAGTGTGATCTTGCTTCGATTCCTTCAATTAAAAGGTATTTTAAGAATTTAGTTATTAAAATTATCAGAGTACATTTAATACTGTATTTTCACCAGCCAAAACCCACTTTGTTCAGAAGAATTTCTGAATTAAAAAGTAAGTTTGCGGGATGATTTAAGTTTAACGTATGCTTACTTACGGTACAGTACTGCATGAAGTACGCTGCTTAACATTCTTTTAAAAGGAATGAAATGTTTAGTTCTAGGGTAGAAGGGTCCTTTGTCAGTATATATCATGAACTGTATGTAAATATTCTATAAATAATTTAATAAGACATCATCCTTCATGGTGCCATCTTTTATTCAGCAAAAAACAAAACAAAAAATTGTATTTGTAGATTTTATTTTTTGTTTTTGAGTTGTTTTTAAAAGAAAAAGAAATGATTATTTGATCCATTTGAAAATAAAAAGATTTAGGTTGACTTTGATTTTTTTCCAAGAATTCTAGGTTTGTGTTTTCAGAATCTTCTAATCAACTTCTTTTTACAAGAGAATAAAGAAAAATTGAAAAAAATTTTGATAATTTTTTAAAAAAATTTAAAAATTATAAATCTTTAAGTTTGTAGACCATCAAAATATTGCTTTTAGATTGGATTTTCATACCTTTGGCTCAAAGAATCAAAGTAAAGTTAAATGAAAATAAAATCAATTTCTGATATCAAGGTCTCAATACATAAAACATAATCTAAAATAGCTTTTTTTAAATTTTAAAATTCAAATTTTTCTTGAATAAGAATTGAAAAATATGAAAATCTTGCAATGGTTGCATCAGTTCTCAGTTCTTGAAAATCTGGCGAATTCTCAAGTTTTTATTTTGCAAAATTTCTTTTCTTTTCGTTCTCTTCATAAATTTATTGAAAAGAAGAAATATTCCGAAAAGTATAAATTTTTAACAAAAACTCATGTACAAAAATAAAACTTTTTGGATATTTCATTGGAAACTTTTTGAAAAACTTTTTTGAAATCTGATTTTCTGATAAAATTGTGAAGAAAAATACACTGATGACCATTAATATCATTGTAAGCCTAATTTAAAAATTTTAATCCTATCTTTGTAATTTGCAAAATTGTTTATACTAAACGTTTGCTTAAAAAAATATTGAAATTAAACTTGACAAATTTTGTAAACACTTTCAAAAGTAAAAAAAGTTCAATGTTGTATAACCAACTAAAAAGCGAACTCATTACTTTAAATCATGTATACTTTTAAAACCAAATCAAATTATATTTGATTTTTAGTCATAAAAGATACATGTAAAAATGGATATTTATAAATTCAACAATCTATTACAACAGTTTATATATTATATCATGTTTTGACCTAAAAACCTGGTTCACTTTTCATCATAAGATTATCAGGAAAATAAGTAATCTTATGAACTTTTCTGATTAACTACAATCTTGATGTGATTAATTTATTTAAAAAAACCTGCGTTTGTGGATATTTTGTTCACTTCTAAGGGTGCATAAACACTGAGTGTGGATATTTTGTTTACTTCTTAGGGGAATAAACACTAAGTTTGAATATACATTTTGTTTACTTTTAAAGTTGAATAAACACTGAGTGTGGATATTTTGTTTACTTCTAAGGGGGAATAAACACTGAGTGCGGATATTTTGTTTACTTCTAGGTGTTAAGAAAACACAGAGTTCGGATATTTTGCTTACTTTTAAAGGAGAATAAAACTCTGATGTTTGTTCTAAAGAAGATGAATCCATATCGTAAACAAGATAAATGGCTTCACTTGAGAATTTTAAATATTTGCATTTGCATCCTCCACAGAATATGCTTCATTATATTCTGCAGTAAACATCATGCTACTATAGTATGCATCATGCTACTATAGTATGCATCATGCTACTATAGTATACATCATGCTACTATAGTATGCATCATGCTACTATAGTATGCATCATGCTACTATAGTATGCATCATGCTACTATGGTATGCGTCATGCTAATATAGTATGCATCACGCTACTATGGTATGATGCTACTATAGTTTGCATCATGCTACTATAGCATGCATCATGCAACTATGGTATGCACCATGCTACTATAGTTTGCATCATGCTACTATAATATGTATAACGTTACTATAGTATGCATTATGCAATTATAGCATGCATCATGCTACTAAAGTATGCATCATATTACAAAGTATGCTTCATGAGACTACTGCAATGATTCTTAGTATGCATCATCATAATAAAGTATGCAACATTATTTTCAGGATGCATTATACCGCATCACGATTATAATTTAATATCATACTGTAGTATGCATGTAACACTCAATGCAAGACTCAGAAGAGACGATTTTATTGAATAAATTTATTTTATACATAAACAAAGAAACATCTTTAAGCAAAAACTCTTGCCAGTTACAACATTTTTTTATAGTTTTAAAGAGATTTGAATTTGTTCTGCAAATATCGTGTGCTCGCATCCTATACAACTCAATGCATGCAGTGTGCATCATAATAATGCAATTTCATAAAGATTTTATAGCTTGCATTTTAATATTGTAACATTGTTAATATAACTAAATTATGCATCATAAAATGAAGTTTGCATCATATATTTAAAAAAGGACAACTCCTTACTTTATATTTTGTATTTTGAAATTTCCTATTTTTTTTAACGATGTATCTGTTTTCTTTGGAGTAAACTTGTTGTATAAACAAACTGGAATATGTCTGTGTACATGGCTTAGTGTAAACTCTCTTTTTACCAAATCATGAAATAACAAACTTTAAACTCTTTAAATCTTCAAGCAAACATTACTCATAGATGTGTTTAAGATTAATATTTCATAATATTTTTTATTTTTCATGATCTGAGAGCTACTTTTGAAAACTTTTTTTTCCTGTTTCGAGGAATTTCATATTTTCCAGGAATGTTCGAAAATTCAGCGCCAGTGAAATATTATTTTTTAAAAATCTAAAATATTATACAATATTGTTATATACGAATATTTTTCGCGAACACTCCCGTTAAAAGCTTTTGAATTATATATCTCTGTTTACTATTTTGAATACAAATTATTTTTACCATTGTAATTTATCTGCAAGTGACTTGTTCATTTAAACTCCAGTGGCCGAATTTGAAGAATTTGAGCGGTGGTTTAAATTTAAGCCGCGGCATAAATATAGTTGGTTCCACTTAAAATTGTATCAAATGTTACAAGATTTAAGCCGGCGCTTATTTTAAACCGGGTTTTAAGGCAAGTTTAAATCGCGGCTCAAATTCTTTAAATTCCATCTCTGGAAACACTTAAGAATTATTAGAATTAAGAACTTAAACCTAGAGAAATGAGAATATCTTCCAGATAATTGATCAGATAAAAGATTCAGGGGTTGATAATTGCACGGACAGTCCCTTTAAGTACAAACTTAGCATACCATATTATTGCATTGAAGCATTCTATTCTGTTTGTACTTGATATTATTTGGTTAATCCTGAGAATAATACAATAATAAAAGGGAAACTATACAAAAATTAATATGTATTTATTGTTCTCCTTACATGAAAGCAACTTATTACATTTAATATATTTGCTCATGCTGAGATGATACAAGGCTATCCACAAAGGATGAAACATTTAGAGACAGCTTTTTTCTGACAGTCATAAAGGTCCACATTTTAGCTTTAATCCTCTTTATTTTACTTACAAAGATTTTGCATATATTTTAATCTTTAAGGTCGTCCTTAATGTCTTATCTGTTGTGGATGATCCTGTATCTTGAAAGAATTCCTAGATTCATTTTTTTAGATGTTAGTTTATCTTGAAATTGAAATACTGCTGCTCACATACCCTGCGCTGTATTCTTTCAGTCATATTTTGGGCTTTGATTCAGACCTGTAAAAACGTTGCTTATTCTCTTTTAAACGTTGCTTATTCGCTTTTAAACGTTGCTTATTTGCTTTTAAACGTTGCTTATTCGCGTTTAAACATTGCTTATTTACTTTTAAACGTTGCTCATTCGCTTTTTTTCTTTCAGCTTTTATGTCTTCAAAAATGCGCTTCGAAGGAAAAAAAGACAACTCCCCAAGTTTACAGATTATTGAAATAAAGACCAGCATGTGATAGAATTCAATAAATGAAACTGAATGGATTAAAAAGGCGTTTTTGCCACAAACTCGAATTTTCTCATCCCTATATCTTTGCAACCTGGTGAACCTTTGATATTTCTAACTTAGATTATTTGATATAAGGGTTTCTAGGGCTTTTAGCGAAAAGGAAAAGTCGTTTCGCGAAAAAGTGCAAACACAAAATATAAATATAGATTTAAGAACGACAAGGAGGCATAAGACAATTCATAGATTTGCTTGAAAATACTTTCTCGACCGTTCAGATCTTTCTTCTTAAAACACAAAATAAAATCTACTACGGGAAGAACCAAAATAATTTAAACTTAAAAAGATAGCTAGTGAAATCAAATTCTCTTCATCAAAAAAATGTATTAAAGTAAAGGTAGAAAAATTATTTCTATGACATAATAAAACTTCAAATATTGAGCTATCAGAGCAGAGAATTTCACAAGTTCTTTTGAGAAATTTTTGCAGCTATAAAACTCATGATTTTTACAAAATTTACGCGTTCTGCAAAAATATTTTCGCGAAAAAAATTTCGCCTCATTTATTTTCGCGAATTTTCGAGAAAAAGTTTGCGAAATGAGACCGAAAATGTTTGCATTTTTTTCGCGAAAACGTTTTGTTCGCTGGAAACCCTATTTGAAATATTTAATCTCTACGACATCGGGCTGCAAACAATCTATAGATGTAAATAGCCCCAAAATCAAAATTTGGGTTATATGTCATTTTTTCCGTGCGTCTGTGCGCCTTCCAACTTTCATCTTTGTTAAAAAGTTTGATTTCAATTGAAAAATATCATTTTATTTAGCAAAATCGTGCGTTCTTGCGCTGCGCAAGAACGCATGAAAATGACACTTTAAAAAAAATCGATAATGTATGTCATTTCCTTGCGCCTGTGCGTTTCCAGTCACATCTTTCAGCTTTGTTAAAAAGTTTGATTTCAATTGAAAAATATCATTTTATTTAGCAAAAACGTGCGTTCTTGCGCCGCGCAAGAACGCATGAAAATGACACTTTAAAAAAAATTGGATAATGTGTTTCATTTCCTTGCGCCTGTGCGTTTTCAGTCACATCTTTCAGCTTTGTTAAAAAGTTTGATTTCAATTGAAAAATATCATTTTATTTAGCAAATTGCACCCCGCGACCCCAATGACACTTGAAAAAAAATTGGATAATGTATGTCATTTCCTTGCGCCTGTGCGTTTCCAGTCACATCTTTCAGCTTTGTTAAAAAGTTTGATTTCAATTGAAAAATATCATTTTATTTAGCAAAAACGTGCGTTCTTGCGCCGCGCAAGAACGCATGAAAATGACACTTAAAAAAAAATTGGATAATGTATGTCATTTCCTTGCGCCTGTGCGTTTCCAGTCACATCTTTCAGCTTTGTTAAAAAGTTTGATTTCAATTGAAAAATATCATTTTATTTAGCAAAAACGTGCGTTCTTGCGCCGCGCAAGAACGCATGAAAATGACACTTTAAAAAAATCGATAATGTATATATATATTCTATTCTCTATGGTTACTCAGTAAATCGTAGTTGCTCAATTTTTTATATAAAAAAGTACATGTTAATATTTTTTGTAAAAAAAAATTATCTTACAATATTTTGAAGATTTAAGTCAATAAAGTACTGAGAAAATTTACCAAATTGATGCTCTTGATATTTTATGACATTTAAACCCAACTATAAGATCTGTTATCTAAATATTTTCCAATGACAAATCTTAAACTTGGAATATAAAATGTTTAAATTTAAACATAACTTTCTGAAATGTGTGCAGGGTAGGGTAGAGGTGGTCTCTGTTTCTCATTAGCTGGTATTGTCAATAATTTACTTAACATATCTTGTATTGCTAATCCATACATAACATTATTCTAATTATTTTCCTTCCGTAAACTCTCTTATAACATTAAGGGTATGCCTCAGGAGAATATATATAAAACAAATAGTTGCGTAGATAATAAAACTTTTTTCTTTCCATTATATTTATTCTTTACAAGGGAAATAAAACAAATAATTTCTATATAAACAACTGTTCAGTTTTTTAGAAATTTTTAGAAGGGAATAAAAACGTAATTTTAAACGTTCCCTAGCTTCGCTTATAGCGAGTTCGATTCATAACAGTATGGTTCCCATTTTCAAACTTTCACTAAATTCAAAAACACCAATTTTTGTAATTTTGAGCATCCATAAACATATACCCTGGGGTCATGTGAGGTTTCAAACTAAATTTGGGCCCGATCGGTTCAGCCGTTTTGACGTTTATTGGATACAAACGGACATAAATACAGACAGACAGACAAGTAAAGTATATGTCATGTATAATATAATGTCTTTGAACAAATTCTTCTAATGTCTTCATCATTTATACAAATTCAGAGTTTTCAGCAAAAAATCGATACCTTCCAGATTACATAAACTTCTGGACAATCCTTTCGAGGGTTCAATCAAATTTTCAATCCCTCTAACCCATAATTTATTTCCGGACTGTTTAGGTTTTGCGCTAAAGTCCTAGAAACGGAGTCTCGAGTCAACAGTTTAATCTACTGTGCTGGAGTAGAGAATACTCCACAGTGGACCACACCGGAGGGATTCAACTACCAGGTATGGGAGGGATTTAACTATTAAGTATTGGAGGGATTCTACTACTAGATAGAATAGGAGGGATTCAACTACCAGGTATAGGAGGGATTAAACTACCAGGTATAGGAGGGATTAAACTACTAGATATAGGAGGGATCCAACTACCAGGTATAGGAGGGATTTAACTCCTAGATATAGGAGGGATTCAACTACCAGGTATAGGAGGGATTTAACTACTAGATATATGAGGGATTCAACTACCAGGTATAGGAGGGATTTAACTACTAGATATAGGAGGGATTCAACTACCAGGTATAGGAGGGATTTAACTACTAGATATAGGAGGGATTCAACTACCAGGTATAGGAGGGATTCTTCTACTAGATATAGGAGGGGTTCAACTACCAAGTATAGGAGGGATTCAACTACTAGATATAGGAGGGATTCAACTACCAAGTATAGGAGGGATTCAACTACCAGGTATAAAAAGGGTTCAACTACCAAGTATAGGAGGGATTCAACTACCAGGTATAAAAAGGGTTCAACTACCAAGTATAGGAGGGATTCAACTACCAAGTATAGGAGGGATTTAACTACTAGATATAGGAGGGATTCAACTACCAGGTTTGGAGGGATTTAACTACTAGATATCGGAGGGATTCAACTACCAGGTATAGGAGGGATTTAACTACTAGATATAGGAGGGATTCAACTACCAAGTATAGGAGGGATTCAACTACTAGATATAGGAGGGATTCAACTACAAGGTATAGGAGGGATTCAACTACCAAGTATAGGAGGGATTCAACTACCAAGTATAGGAGGGATTCAACTACTAGATATAGGAGAGATTCAACCACCAAGTATAGGAGGGATTCAACTACTAGATATAGGAGGGATTCTTATATTCTGC